ATGTATTTAACACCCTTTCTGAGTGCATGCTGTCCGTCTGTAGAGTCGGTGAGGCGTCTGAAAGGGAGGACTCCCTTCATAAAGTTAGAGGGAAGCGCTGAGGGCGACAGCATTTTATTTGATACTTTGTAATATGGGATTAACATAAATTCAGTTTTTCCTTTGGCCTGGAGACGGCAGGACAGCTGGGAAATCATTCAGATCATCAGAGGAAGAGCAGCAGCACTTTGTAGACGACAGAGGTACCCTAACACACTTTAAAAGAGGTTGAGGGGGTCTTTAAAGTTTTGTAGCCGAGGACCCCTGTGTCCGAGAAATATGGAAATTAGGTATTTAGCTTGGAACTCAGAGATGAGGTAAAACATTAACTCTTTGTTTCTTTAGAGTGCCGGTCTGATTAAACACACACACACACACACACACATACACACACACATCAAAGTAACACTCCTGTTGAGAGACCACCACTGATAGTGGTGGCAGCTGGTGCCAAACCTTTAGTGTGTGTGTGTGTGTGTGTGTGTGTGTGTGTGTGTGTGTGTGTGTGTGTGTGTGTGTGTTGTCACAGCGCAACAAACGGTTCAAGGACTTGACACACAATGCACCATTCAGTCAACTTCCATACTCTGTTTAAAACACAACTGTAAAACTCTGTCAAATGTATAATGGGCACTGACATTCCAACTAATATTGGAAATGAGTGAGACACACTGTGAGAGTGAGACACACTGTGAGAGTGAGACACATTGTGAGTGAGACACACTGTGAGTGAGACACACTGTGAGAGTGAGACACACTGTGAGAGTGAGACACATTGTGAGTGAGACACACTGTGAGTGAGACACACTGTGTGAGTGAGACACACTGTGAGAGTGAGACACACTGTGAGAGTGAGACACACTGAGAGTGAGACACCTGTGTGGAGTGTAAGACACACTGTGAGAGTGAGACACAACTTGAGTGAGTGAGACACACTGGTGTGAGTGGAGACAGACTTTGTGAGTGAGAAACACTGTGAGTGAGGACACACTAGAGGGAGACACCCTGTGTGATGAGACACACTGTGTGAGTGAGACACACTGTGTGAGTGAGACACTGTGAGTGAGACACACTGAGAGTGAGACACACTGTGTGAGTGAGACACACTGAGAGTGAGACACACTGTGTGAGTGAGACACACTGTGTGAGTGAGACACACTGTGTGAGTGAGACAGACTTTGTGAGTGAGACACACTGTGAGTGAGACACACTGAGAGTGAGACACACTGTGTGAGTGAGACACACTGTGAGAGTGAGACACACTGAGTGAGTGAGACACACTGTGTGAGTGAGACAGACTTTGTGAGTGAGACACACTGTGAGTGAGACACATTGAGAGTGAGACACACTGTGAGACACACTGAGAGTGAGACACACTGTGTGAGTGAGACACATAGAGAGTGAGACACACTGTGTGAGTGAGACACATAGAGAGTGAGACACACTGTGAGAGTGAGACACATAGTGAGTGAGACACACTGAGAGTGAGACACATAGAGAGTGAGACACTGTGTGAGTGAGACACATAGAGAGTGAGACACTGTGTGAGTGAGACACATAGAGAGTGAGACACACTGTGTGAGTGAGACACATAGAGAGTGAGACACACTGAGAGTGAGACACACTGTGTGAGTGAGACAGACTTTGTGAGTGAGACACACTGTGTGAGTGAGACACATTGAGAGTGAGACACACTGTGAGACACACTGAGAGTGAGACACACTGTGTGAGTGAGACACATAGAGAGTGAGACACACTGTGTGAGTGAGACACATAGAGAGTGAGACACACTGTGAGAGTGAGACACATAGTGAGTGAGACACACTGAGAGTGAGACACATTGTGAGTGAGACACACTGTGAGAGTGAGACACACTGTGTGAGTGAGACACACTGTGTGAGTGAGACACACTGTGAGAGTGAGACACACTGTGTGAGTGAGACACTGTGAGAGTGAGACACACTGTGAGAGTGAGACACATAGTGAGTGAGACACATTGTGAGTGAGACACTGTGAGAGTGAGACACATAGTGAGTGAGACACATAGTGAGTGAGACACTGTGAGAGTGAGACACATAGTGAGTGAGACACACTTTGCAGACAGACAGCGACCTCACCTAACCCGAGTTCAAGGCCACCGCAGGGCTCACCCCGGAGGTGGGAGATAACACAACAGAACTTTTCACGTATACCAAGTATCCGTACCTTATACTCATTATATTCCAAATCAGGCATTTTGATGCCGTTTTAATGTTGAATGTATTCATTGGAGAATATTGATTATATATGCACCTTCCCAACAAAGAGCCATTTCAACCTTAATACACGGCAAAAGGACAGAATGGATGTTGCTGTTATTCCTAATGTTTCCAGTTCTAATGCTGACATTAAAAACTGATATGCACATTGATTTGTTATTTTAGATATATTGCCTTTTATTTTACTTTCATTTGGAATAGATTAAAGTAAATAGTCTTCAAGTTGGATCGATATGACGAGATCTTCTGTAAGCGTTGGACTAATAAACAGAAACAGCCTCTTGTTGAAACAAGGCGTGAAGTAATGTCTTTCAGATACTTTGAGTACATTTCCTTTTACCTGAGCAAGAACGTGTGTTTTTGTCACCTTTGCGTGTTGCACGGTTGTGTAGATCCTGTGGTAACGCACACCATCATGAACAAAAACATGACCGTCTGCAGCTCAGATTTAAAATGCACAACCATCAACACAATCCATTGACTGTAACCTACATTTAAACTCACACCAGTGTAGCAACAGTGATACAGTTGACTGCATTTTGCTCACAGAAAGGTGAACTGGTGAATAGTTGCGAGTGAGGAAGAAGTAAAGCCTGCTAATTTAAACTCAAGCTTCAGGAAGCTGAAGTTTACTGTACACAAGCTGGTTTCTATCCATATGGATGTGATGTCAGGGAGGGGAGCATTACATCTGACACACATGGTTTCACCCACAGACCCTAACACACTGAAACAAGAAGAGCTCTCAGCACCAGGAAGATACACTCCTGTAAGCTTTGCAGAAACCATCAGCACACTGACAGTCATATACAAACATGTCTCACACACACACACACACACACACACACACACAACTCAAACTGCTGCAACACAACTGAAGTCGTGTTAATGTGAAGCCTGATGATCCCTGTCAGCAGGGGCGTCACTTTGGGTTGAGAAATAGTGGGGTGTCAGAAGATTTTCAAATGGTCTTCAACAAATACAATGTATACGCAATGCAATGAATGGATCAGTTTGAAATTAGAGTCAATAATTATCAAGAAAACTAGTCATGATTTCTTGAAGATACTGATCAGTGCATGCATGTTTTTGATCATTGTTTAATAGGCTAGCTGCAAATGACACTGCACAGTGGTGTATTCTATATCTACACTGCCTTCCATGTGTTCTTATGGTGCAAATAACCTTTATAGAAGCGTCATCTCTTGGTGCAAGCCATTATCGAAACAGATTTAACAAATTGTGCTTTGAAATAGCAATAGGAACAAAAACAGCCATTTCAAAAAGTGGTGGAGACATGTCTTCACTATAAATGACACCTATGGCTGTCAGTGTGTGTGGTTGTTAATTACAGTCATGCTAGGGTCTGCAGAGATAAGTTTCTTGGTGCTGCTCACTTTGAACGCGGGCCTCGCTTGGGTGAAAGCCAATTAACACGCTGTGAAAACAACTGAACCCCACAAACACACACAAGCGCGCACACACACACACAAGCGCGCGCGCACACACACACACAATCAACAAAGCAACTCCAGCCTGCACTAAATAGCTGTTTTCTGCTCAAGCTGCAACCAGACAGAGACAGAGGAGCAAATGCTGCACAGTGCTCCAGTTAGAAAACCAATCCCGTTTTGAGATAATAGTTTTGGGGAGCAGCAGAGGAGGAGAGGAGGAAACCCTCTCTCCGTCTCTCTCTGTCTCTACCTCCCTCTCTCTCTCTCTCTCTCTCTCTCTCTCCACCGTCCCGTTACTTTACCTTGTTGAAGGCGAACAGCTCCTGTTTAATCTTCTCTCTCTGCGGGTCAGTGCCCTGCCGACGGAACCGAAACTTCATCATCTTGAAGCCGGAACTGCAAACACGGAGGTAACAAACCCGGTGTTCAGGAGAGGCGGTGCTAAGCTAACCGACTAGCCCCATGCAGCAGGCTGAAAGCGAGGCTGCTTCTGCTGCTGCTGCGGCTCTCTCTCCTCCCTCCTCGCTCTCTCTCTCTCTCTCTCTCTCTTACCACAGCCCCCTCCTCTTCCCGGTTCACACGGACCCCGTTGTTGTTAACCAATGAGGGTGAAGAAATCTGCGAGCAATTTACTCAAAAACCGCCCACAGAGACAGGAGCTGCAGAGAGGGAGTGCTCGGTTTGGAACACGGAGCGCACCGGATACACGTTCTATTTACAACTGTCAATATGATGCGTTAAACGGGGAGAGCGTTACGTAAAATGAAGCTAACACACAGTAAAAAGCTAGTTTCAGTCAGGTTTCCGTTAGAAGAGACAAGTTCTGTTTACCCAATTATATTTTACGACTTTATCAAAAGGATTATTTATGGTTTATATAATACAGCTTTATTTGAAAAGCTCTTTAAAACCTCCAGACCTGTGCAGAGAAATACAAAAATAATAAAATACAAAAATCACAGCTCAGCTCACCAACCATAACATTTGTAAAACTACAAATAAAGTGGAGAACATTGAAATAAAGAATACAAATCGTTAAAGTCATATAGTAAAAATAATAAACCATTTGAAAGCAATTATAGCAACTAATTCGAATTTTTGGTTAACAATAATCGTATTATTGATAGATTTTATATATAAAAATCAAATTATATGAAAGAAAAGTTGTGTGTGTTTCATAAAGAGTTTTCTTCCTTTATAACAGCCCTCAAGTTAATAAAGAAATATAACACATTGTTTATGCTACAAACTTTAATGTACAACATTATTCATAAGCGTTCGTTATGTACAACAGCTATTTACAAGACATATATACATTGTATACATCATCTAATTAAATAGTGCAAAGAATTCAGCGATGTGGCTTTTAACTGTGTGCCAAAATATGTCTTTCTCTTGATTTCATGAGGGAAGAACATTGTATGTGGGGCTGCCTTCTCTTGCTTGCCATTTAGAATGCATCATTATAAAAAATAAAATCTTCTTGATGAATAAATAGGAAAGGTTATACGTAGGTTTGCTACACACTTCAGTTTCTTTGTAGAGAGCCAACCCAGGTGTTCCTACCCTTTATGCAAATCTCTTTTAAAGCAGCCATGGCAGACAACATTTTAAACAGTTTTGGCTAAAAGTGTCAAACATTCTTGATTTAGGTCTGAAAGGATATTAATTCTTTATCGCATGGATGCATTAAACTCAGTTGTATTTGTGTTTAATGTGCAGGTCTGTACGGACATATATTTTATAATTGATGTAATTGCTGTGGGTGTGATCATTTAAATCTTATTTTAAAGCAAAATACCCCAAATTCCCTTGATCCAGCTTCTCAAATAAGAATATTTAAAAAGCCATTTGAACATAAAAACTTTGGCTTTGGGAAATTCAGATTTTGAATGTTTTGATTTTCTGTGATATTGTACAGATTAATGTAGATGAAAATCTTTGGTTGAAGCATCGACGCCATTCGTTAATCTCACGACAGAAACATTACGTCATCATAACAAAATATTATTATTTTTAAAATAGAGGTAGATTGAGGTGGGATTTCTATAAGATTGTGTGCATGTGTGTGGTGCGTGTGCGTGCGTGCGTGTGTGTGTGTCTCTCTCTAGGTCGTCCTCAGGCGAGCCCTCCATCGTCGCTTCCAGTCATCCCGGTTCTCCGTATAGGATCGGTAGCACTTGGTCTTGCCGGGACTTGAACTGGTGACCTTCCAGTTGCCAAGCCAACTCCCTATCGACTTCGCCACCACCGTGCGTGCGTGCGTGCGTGCGTGCGTGCGTGCGTGTGTGTCACAGCAGGGTGATTTCACTTGGTGGCAAAGTGAGTCTCTTTTCTCTGACTGATAACATGTTCTCCATGTGCATGGCGATGACTCGGCACAGCTCCAAGCCCTGAAAAAACACACACACACACACACGCACGCACGCACGCACGCACACACACACACACACACACACCACACACACACACAGACACACACACACACACACACACACAGACACACACACACACACACAGAAAAAACAAAGTATTTAAGGTGAGTGAAATGCTTAAAAACCATTGCATATACAAATTAGAACAGCGGCTCTTCGACTCCCTCTGTGTCTGTGTCTCACAAATATATATTTGGTCACACACATACACACACACACACACACACACACCTGCTCCAGCTGCAGTTGTGTGATTCGCTGGTTGAGCAGGTCTCCTATCATGATCTCCACGTACGGATAGCTGGAGCCTGAAGTTGGTCTCTGAGTGCGAGTGGACTGGACTTCCTTCAGAGGGAAACGCACCATGGCCTCCTAATTACATACAGATAAATAAAACCAAATAAATGTTAGAGTACACACACTACCAGTTAATAAACCTTTACACACATAAACAGACAGCTATGCACAGGTATTTAAAGTCAAAACACATAGAATACAATATTTACTATAATAAGCAGAAGTGAACACAATAACCAACAGGGGGAGCCAAGGCTTTGTTTTAAAGGGTTATGGTTTAAATAGTGTAAATAATACGATGTCGAAAAAGGGCTTCTGTGTCTGCTTCAAATTCCTTCCGTTACACACACTCCGTTGCTAGCATATTTTTCCAGCTGTTCCTGGAATGTGAAGCATGCAACATTACACAAGCTGGATCCTTGTGTTTGAGTGGATGTTTAAAGTGTGATGGTGACATACATGAGTGTCCTTGTTGAGAAAGTGCAGCCCGTTCAGATTTACGGCCAGGATGCACGGCGCGCTGATGGAGGCGGAGCTACAGCTCTGGATGTAGAAGAAGGAGGAGCCGAACATGGGGAAGGCACTCACCAGACCTGGGCAGAAAAAAGAACAGGGTATTATTTTAATATGGCAGCATTACTATCCAAAGCAACTAACTTACTGCACTGTTAATAATGAAAAACATCATCTAGAATTCAAATGCGTGTCTTTTTTTCTTCTTGTTTCAACAGTTACTTTATCGCCTTATTTTAAATGGTTGTATTATTATTTTTATTATATTTTATCTTAATGTTTTACCTTGTGTGAATCGTGTTTTTCACTCTGACCCTATTGCTGCTATAAACGCCTGAATTTCCCCACAGGGATAAATAAAGTTCCATCTTATCTTAACTTATCTTTTTGTCTGTCAGATGTTTCTAAATATCTTCTTACCAGATTTGATTAGTTGTGTGGAATTGATGAACAATCAAAATCAGATATATAACATAAGTGTCCATGGAACACACTTTCCAAGATATACAAAAGCACATAGCGGTGGTCTTACCGAGGAACTGTGCTCGAGCCTGGTTTGGGTTTAAGGGCTGCACCTGCTGCATGTGCTGAGTCGTCATGTTCAGCCAGTGCTGGGAGCCCTGTTTGCTGTAGAACTGTGGAGGGACACACTCCTGCACGTCACGCCTTAAAACACACACACACAAACACACCAGTCATAACTCAGAGGCAGTGGTAAAGATTGTATTTAAAACATTTGTGAAAGTGTTAGCGTAAATAGGTTCAGGATCGTCAAACTGAATGGAAACCTCACTGCACTGATAGTGAAGGGGGGAAATAATTGTGTGTGTGTCTTTAGTGTATTCACAAGGTGGGCAGGTAGACAGTGTCCTTGGCACGGTGCTGGAGAGCAGCCAGTCTGGCGATCTGCTGCAGATGCTGGTCGCTCGCCTTCGCCTGAGGAACCACGCTCAGCAACGCCTTCAAATAGTCTGGCAACACCTTGGAGAAAGACACAGAGAGTTACATTTTGTAAAGGTTCCTGCTTGTTTTGAAATCCTGATACATCTTCCTTGTCTGACTGAACTGGGCTGCAGTCGAATAGTCCATTAGCTTAGGAACCTTCCTAACGGAGTGAAATGACCCAGAAGTCCCTCAGTGGCAGCCATGATAAGTGCCGTTTGAATTCTCTAGATGATAGGAAAGGAGGTTTCAAACTTCCTTTATAACCTCCTTTAGCTTAGGAACCACTGGACCTCCCTTTAGGAAAGGAGAGGAGAAAATGCTGCCCCACAATGCCTTGCAGCCGCAGCATTTACCGTCACTCAACAGTCGGCCGTTCACGGACACAATCGATTATGACGGAGAAATGATATCATGAAAGTTACGGTGCTTATTACGCATTTTAAAACGTATGTGGTAAGTTGCCAACGTGCTTTGTTCTGAACGTTCATCAGTATTATAATCAAAGAGAAATATGAACGTTAGTTTTTACTGAAATGATCAAATAAAGTCAACATTTCACTGAGCTGTGTGGGGTTGTTCAAATTTTAAAAGATGTTTGAATGGTGATATACACAGTGATAGATGTTAAGGACTAACGTTTATAATAAATACATCTGTATTGATTTTAAGATATTTTAATAGTTCATACAATCATACGTATTGGGATCATTTGTATTAATGTGGACCGGAGGGAGAGGGTGACGAGCAGAAGTTTCACTTTCCTTTTTTATTTCAATTCCAACTTTGGTCATGAAGAATATGTTTCTCTGTTGTCCACGTTCATAAAGCAACAGCATCAGAGCACGGTGCAGAGTCTCTAGATGAGTTTACAGTAGTCCCTCGTTCTTATTAAACATCCATGTTGTAGTCCGCTGTATAGAAAACTGTAGTTTCCATGGTTACCCCACAGCAGCAGACGCACACAATGACGTCCGCTGGCGCATCATAAACACGTCAGATAGTGAAAGTGCAGTCGGATTCTCTAAAGCACCGCAGTCTCTTCTCCTAAATCCTTTTGTATTCTCCTATCCACTATCCCTTAACCCCGCGACGTTTCACTCAGAGGTTAAGGAATAGACGATAGGGTTAGAATTTAGGAGCTGATTTTTTGATTATCCGACCGCAACCCCGGTTTAAGTGAGTCTGCTGTCACACAAATTGGAAAGCTAAATGATGTTAGCTGATTGTAAGGCAATCCACACAGAGCTGAGGCTCTTGTAATTCCCTTGGTTTATTGGGAGAACATGGGGAAGAAATGAGAAAATGGCGACAATAGGCGTGATATCTACTATATCGCAATGTGATACTGTGAATCATTGTTAAACCATAGAAGAAAGTGAGCCAAACGGCATATTAGGGATATTTTAGTTAACAAAAGAAAAGTTGAATAAATCACGGAGCAGAGGCAGGTGGGTGATATTATGAGAAGATAGTAGATAAGTAGATGAAATGCAGGAATAAGGGGTCATCTTTGCTTCCCTTTGAAAGGTTTGATCAACCATGTCACAACACATACTTGCTGTGTATTGCTTTTTCTCTTAAACTTACAAATATAATCTCAGTAAATATCAAAATGTGCTGTTGTTAATGTAACCCTAATACACCCTCGTACAGAACCCTGTAACCTCTCATACAGTGGACCTCTACCTGGTTATAGTGCATGGTGACGTAGAGTTCGTTGTCCAGTTTGAGAGCCATGCTCCATATGACTCTCCTGAACCACAGACTGTAGCTGGCGTCCACCGGCTCGGCCTCTGTGGCGATGTCCAGGATGTACTCACGCTTGTTCAGGGGGCGCACATTCTGACCTACAGACACAAGTTATTATCCCTTTGTCTACAGTGCAATCCTTTAAATAGCGATGGTTTGCATTGGAGGCCTTCCTTATTGCATCCAGACCATTGTTACCTTTGTGTGTGACCAAAAAGACGGCGTATTCATCCAGAGCCTCCACCCTGTGCAGTCCCATCTCATAGCAAAGCTCCTCGATGACATCCAAAGCAACCTGAAGTAACAAAATAATTCAGTAATGCAGTTGTCATGTTGACGCACAAATTCAGCATCTTGGTTTTTGTTATGTTACTGTCTGGCCTGTGTGTGTGTGTGTGTGTGTGTGTGTGTGTGTGTGTGTGTGTGTGTGTGTGTGTGTGTGTGTGTGTGTGTGTGTGTGTGTGTGTGTGTGTGTGTGTGTGTGTGTGTGTGTGTGTGTGTGTGCCACTCACAGAGCACGTCTTGATTTTCACGTGTCTTTCTATCCCGCCCGGCAGCAGGAACAGCTGTCTCTTGGAGCTCCGCCCAGCCTGCACACAAACAACCAATCAGAGAGGAGAACAAAACTTGAGTTTGGTACCCTTTTAACTTCTTTCAAGCCACATGAAGTACAGTAAGAAGACTGCATAGCTGAATTAGAGACTAACCAGCATAGCTTTGAGTTCCATGCTGTTGGGATACTGTATACGTCCGCCATATTGAAAGGTCCTCCTCAGATTCTGCTCACATGCCTTGGCAATGCCTGGGTCAAAAAAAGGTAACAGATTGATGGATAACCAAGGATATACCTTCAGAACGGTATGGGTTTATGATGTTTGATGTATTAGTGGATTATCTACCTTGATACTGCATCCCTGGACTCTCACAGGCGTCCTGAAGGAACTTCAACATAAACGGCTTCATGACGTCAGAGCAGCGATAGAAAGCTGTCAGGATGTACAGCAGCCGCCATCCTCTCTGACAACTGTCCCTGCACAACATATACACACCACTACAAATTGAAGCACTACTGTGATCAAGCCATCAGGCCGCACGTGATGTAAAATGAAGAGAAAGTCTTACGGTTTGGAGCTGGTGTTGGCGGTCACTTGCTTCATCACCTGGCAGTAAGACTCATCCTTGATCAGGCCATGGTCAGCACTTAACTGGATATATGAGCACATTCATGAAGAAAATAATGTTGATCTTTAATTTCACTTAAATGCATCACATGTAAGTCAAAGTATTTATTTAGTTAATAAGCCATTCAACGTTCTGTGTGTGTGTGTGTGTGTGTGTGTGTGTGTGTGTGTGTGTGTGTGTGTGTGTGTGTGTGTGTGTGTGTGTGTGTGTGTGTGTGTGTGTGTGGTGTGTGTGTGTGTGTGTGTGTGTGTACCTTCAGTACGGAGGTGACCAGGTCCTGTTCAGTCTGACCCTTCAGGGGGAAGTCTCCCATGAACTTCATTATAGCTGGAAAACAATCAACACGGAAATTAAATATTTTAGGAAACAGACATTTCTTTTTTCTTGTCCCTCTGTCCGTTTCAATTGGATCTTTAATTTTCCTCTATGACAGCAACCTATTAATATCTACCTTCTACTTCCTATATACATTATGTATGTGTCCTCTCACCTATGAAGATGTCCACAGCCACTCTGTTCATCCCACTGTCGGAGAAGTCAATCAGAGACTCCTGGATTGGAGACTGCAGAGACAGACACAAAGCAAGGAACAAAACAACACAATATTTTTGAAAAGATAGAATATGAGAGAATCATATTTTTGAATGATTGTGCTTTGAAGCAAACTCAGCTGCTTTACCTTGGAGAATTTGACCATGTCATGAGGATCCCTGCCCTCCTTCCCCTTTTTGGCTTTCTGTTCACTGTGGGCAAAATATAGTCAGGAGTTATGAACTTTATGTGTTTTCATGTCCGTTAAAAGGTCATTAATCACATCTTAATTCAGTCCCATCATTTAATTAATTTGAGTAGTTAACATCTAGTTATTTAACAGCATCAGGCACTGGGTAATGTGGGTATTTATTGTTAGACAGCTGGAAGATGGATGGACTGATGGGAAACAAATAATCTTTTATTACCAAGGCAGGAGACGGGGTAGAAGCCATTGTTCTTTGTATTGTGTAAGAAAATAAACTGAAAAACTGAAATTCTTGACAGGAAAATTGACTTTATAACCGTGTAAGATACCCGGTGCCTCTGCGGCAGTTTCATTTTGAGTTTTTGTTTTGAGAAAAAACAGCCGCTACAGTGTGTGTCTGACCTCTTGTTCCTCTGCGCCTCTCTGAAGTACTTCTTGGCAAACTCAGCCATCTGGTGCTGGCCGCCCTGCAGAGGCAGATCGTCCAGCTCCGCGCTCAGACCGTCCCCATACATCTCATTTACTACCTGATATACACACACACACACACACACACACACACACACACACACACACACACACACACACACAAATATGAAGCTAATCAATAGCGTTTAAAGGAACACTAAACATGTCATTATATCGAAGATATCTCCATTTCTGCTTAACAAAGCATTTCAACATATACTGTCCAAACAGCAGCTGGCATCGCAATATACTATATAGGGGTTTTGTTCATGCTGAAATCTGAGACTTATTCCCACTCCAAACCTGTAATTCGTACTTATTAACTCTTAAATGGGCAATCACGTTAAATGTTATACGTTATGTTAAATGAATCAATTGGTATTCTCTACCTTACACTGTTATCACACCCATATGTTCTTGGTGTGGTATG